CGCACGCACGCACGCACGCACGCACGCACGCACGCACGCGCGCACACACACACGCACGCACGCACACACACACGCACACAGTCTGCCTGCCTGCCTAGATCGAGGTATGATTGATCGCTAGCCGCTCACCTTTTAGAAAATAAATAGTGTAGTCAACGCTTGCGTGCAGTCGTTTTAACACAGCCGAGGCAATGGCGGCGAGTCACCGGGCGAGTCTTATATTGCATATTCATGTAACATGTCAACTCTTCATCACGGAAAACTCAACGGGAAAAGGCAAATGCACGCATGTATATATATATATATATATATATAACACAAAAGCACATACACGCAGTTTTGTAGGGGTTGTGTGTGCGCTTGATATTTATTGTAATAGACATGCAGATCGAATGTAAGTATTCCTATGCCGATATTGCTTTTGTATAGTGCCACATATTTTGGCTAGGAGTTTCAGGTTGCAAGCCAATCAAATATATACAAGTGCGCGCATGCATTAAACATATTCTATGAAAAATGCTCGCCTCTTTCAATAGCTTTTCTGGGGAACATTACAAATTCTGGCTTCTAGCTCCTCCTCCACAGGTATTCGTAGGATGTTTGTATATTTGATTCGTGTATAAAGCTCACCCACGAGAAACAATGATAGAGCGTATTCCATTATGTTGCTGTCTTCTAGTTTTTCTGGAAATGGCGTTACAAGTAAACATTAGGCAATACGGAAAGAGAGTTACTTACCGGTTACACCACTTGATCGTGGCGAACCCAGCAGCAAAGAACTGTGCTCTCCATTTGACGACGTAGATGTCCTTTTCCAGGAATATGTTAATCATCGCCCGTTGACCTGCAGGCACTTCCAGATGAACATCGATGCCCTGATCAACCGACTGGGCAACAGAGTGTGAGTACGCTGATGAAAACTCCTTTCCTTCTGATGTTTCGCCTATAAATTCGGCAACTACCTACAAATTACAAAAAGTTCTCTCTCGTTATTTTTTGTTCTCTCTTTCTCTCTCTCTCTCTGCTCAAAGGTATATATGATAACTAATTAACTAAATAAAGATGATTATATATATATACGTATATAGATATGTATCTTTATTTAGTTCTTTTATTTCTTTATTTAGTTTAGTCTTTCTAAATTTTACTGTTAGATTTATAATTATGACATGTTTACATTAAGGTTAGGATCCTTATACATATATATATATCTATATATATCAAGAGTAGATAATAGGGACTATTATCTACTCCTGATATATATATATATATATATATATATATATATATATATATA